ATGGGCATTTGTACCATTTGTTTGTACTGTGTTTGGATTTCGCATTAAACTTTTGTTTTGAAGGGAATTAGGAAGGGGATTGGAAAGGGAATTTAAAAGCAGTTATGAATGACATACATTTTTTACACTGCTTATATCTGGGGTAATAATCTGAGGTTATTACGAAGATACCTAAAATATGTACGAAGACAGAACAGCGGGAGTAACAGCCTACGCGTAGCAGAGGTTGATACGATTATTAGAGGTCGCTTACGCATGTAGTCATTCCATTTTTGGAAATCGCATTTCCTAATATGGTTGGATGAAAATACCCCGTAAAATACCGCAAAATTACAGCACGCTGTAACTTATGGCGTTACGGTGACAGATGTATAATAACATTTATTAACACATAAAATCTCTCAGGGAGATAAAAATGGTCATAATTAAACAACAAAACAAAGAAAAACAGCAAAGAAAGATAAAACACAAAGTGTAATGAATCTGTCTTGAAATCACAAATTTATTTGGTTCATGACACACTTTGCTCAAAATCAAAGATGTACATTCTACTTAGCAAAACCAACAAAGGATTGTAGGCACTTCACCATGCAATCCCACCTGGGATAGAACTTATACAAAGATAAAATATTAGTAGCTGTAGGCAACAAAATAAAAGTACAGTTCATATCCCTTGATAGTTGACATCAAATGCATTACCCAGGGCCTACCTTTATCGATCCTACAATTATAGAATCTCAGATAATGTCCTCGTATAATTGTGATAACAAACCGCCACAATGGCCATAATTTCACCTTAATTGTTCCAAATGGCTCGTATACCATTTATTATGAGTAATATTTCTACTGGGCTTGGCTCTAGGTTTGCACAAATCTTGGGCAGATTATGTAATCAACACTTTGGAGGAAGAATGCATGTATATGTGTATAGATACTACCAATATCTGCTAAATTCTAGCCTATCCACTCGTCATAAATAATGGTTCATCCCTTAGTTAGGTGACAATGATGAAACAAAGTCAAATATTGCATTATACATGGATTGACAAGACTGATTAGCAATGTCTATCTATTGACTAAGTCTATATGATTGCTTGTCAACAGCCGAAAACTTGAATTATGAGCAACATGATAAATAAAATAACTTAGTGTGTGATTTACACTGCATGTGGCATGGTAAATTCGACCTTTCACTCCTAGGATTTGCACCTTATTTGTAATATTGCATCTCTCTAATCAGTTTCCTTGACTAAAGTAATTTACCACACAGTATGTTGCTAGGATGTGGCATCTTCACACAATAAATATGTAAAATTTTGACCATAATTTCACAAAATGTTGATCAATACCTATAGCCAATGGCAAATTACACCCATTCCATTCAAAATTAACAAAAAAATATATAATATATATATCAAAAAAAATAAATACAAATTGGCAAAATGTTTAGGCAAGAAAATCTCTGGCATTCAAACATGCAGAACCTTTGTTATCCTTTTTCCAAATTTTGATCAAAACCGAAAGTTAATGAGAAAGTAGATTAATTTGGTCCATAATAAAAAAAAAAATCAGAAAAATAATTAAAAGTTTGCACTGAAGTTTTGTTTTCAACATACATGCAGCAATAACCTAGAAAAAAAGAAGAATTAGGTTGTTCCCCATAGGTTTGGAAAGAGATAATGATTTCCGAATAAAGAATGACCCCTTGGTAGAGAATGTTTTGCTTAGCATAGCAATAACCCCTTAGGTTAGGGAAGAAAGATATGTATGCACCAAGCAATTAGTTCACAGTTAGGGGTATAATAAATTTGCTCAGCGAAGCAATAATCCTTGAGGTGAGGAAGAAAAAAAATGTATGCATCAAAGCAAATAGTCATAAGGTGAGGGGTGCATTGTATTTGATCAGCACAGAAATAACCCCTTGGGTTAGGGAAGAAAAAACGAAATGTATTCATCAAAGTAATTTGTTCACAGGTAAGGGGTGTAATGTATTTGATCAGTACAGCAATAACCCCTTAGGTTAGGGAAAAAAACAACATGTATGCATCAAACCAATTAGTTCACAGGTAAGGGGTGTAATGTATTTGATCAGTACAGCAATAACCCCTTAGGTTAGGGAAAAAAACAACATGTATGCATCAAAGCAATTAGTTCACAGGTAAGGGGTGTAATGTATTTGATCAGTACAGCAATAACCCCTTAGATTAGGGAAAAAAACATGTACATTGTATGCATCAAAGCAATTAGTTCACAGGTAAGGGGTGTAATGTATTTGATCAGTACAGCAATAACCCCTTAGGTTAGGGGAAAAAAACATGTATGCATCAAAGCAATTAGTTCTTAGGTAAGCGATGTAATGTATTTGATCTGTACAGCAATAACCCCTTAGGTTAGGGAAAAAAACAACATGTATGCATCAAAGCAATTAGTTCTTAGGTAAGTGGTGTAATGTATTTGATCAGTACAGCAATAACTCCTTGGGTTAGGGAAAAAAACAACATGTATGCATCAAAGTAATTAGTTTACAGGTAAGGGTGTAATGTATTTGATCAGTACAGCAATAACCCCTTAGGTTAGAGAAAAAAAAAACATGTATGCATCAAAGCAATTAGTTCACAGGTAAGGAGTGAAATGTATTTGATCAATACAGCAATAACCCCTTAGGTTAGGGAAAAAAAACATGTATGCATCAAAGCAATTAGTTCTTAGGTAAGTGGTGTAATGTATTTGATCAGTACAGCAATAACCCCTTAGGTTAGGGAAAAAACAACATGTATGCATCAAAGCAATTAGTTCTTAGGTAAGCGGTGTAATGTATTTGATCAGTACAGCAATAACCCCTTAGGTTAGGGAAAAAACAACATGTATGCATCAAAGCAATTAGTTCTTAGGTAAGCGGTGTAATGTATTTGATCAGTACAGCAATAACCCCTTAGGTTAGGGAAAAAAACAACATGTATGCATCAAAGCAATTAGTTCACAGGTAAGGGGTGTAATGTATTTGATCAGTACAGCAATAACCCCTTAGGTTAGGGGAAAAAACATGTATGCATCAAAGCAATTAGTTCTTAGGTAAGCGATGTAATGTATTTGATCAGTACAGCAATAACCCCCTAGGTTAGGGAAAAAACAACATGTATGCATCAAAGCAATTAGTTCACAGGTAAGCGGTGTAATGTATTTGATCAGTACAGCAATAACCCCTTAGGTTAGGGAAAAAAACAACATGTATGCATCAAAGCAATTAGTTCACAGGTAAGGGGTGAAATGTATTTGATCAGTACAGCAATAACCCCTTAGGTTAGAGAAGAAAACAACATGTATGCATCAAAGTAATTAGTTCACAGGTAAGGGGTGTAATGTATTTGATCAGTACAGCAATAACCCCTTAGGTTAGGGGAAAAAACATGTATGCATCAAAGCAATTAGTTCTTAGGTAAGCGATGTAATGTATTTGATCAGTACAGCAATAACCCCCTAGGTTAGGGAAAAAAACATGTATGCATCAAAGCAATTAGTTCTTAGGTAAGCGGTGTAATGTATTTGATCAGTACAGCAATAACCCCTTAGGTTAGGGAAAAAACAACATGTATGCATCAAAGCAATTAGTTCACAGGTAAGCGGTGTAATGTATTTGATCTGTACAGCAATAACCCCTTAGGTTAGGGAAAAAACAACATGTATGCATCAAAGCAATTAGTTCACAGGTAAGGGGTGAAATGTATTTGATCAGCACAGCAATAACCCCTTAGGTTAGGAAAAAAAACAACATGTATGCATCAAAGCAATTAGTTCACAGGTAAGGGGTGAAATGTATTTGATCAGCACAGCAATAACCCCTTAGGTTAGAGAAGAAAACAACATGTATGCATCAAAGTAATTAGTTCTTAGGTAAGGGGTGAAATGCATTTGATCAGCACAGCAATAACCCCTTAGGTTAGAGAAGAAAACAATATGTATGCATCAAAGCAATTGATTCTTAGGTTAAGGGGCACTGTCAGTTTTTCCTAAGATTGAAAAATGTAGGTAACATTATTAAGGAAGTGTGGTAGTATTCAGTGCAGATAGCACTTTACATTAAACAAATTTATGTCTGGCACTCAGGAAACAAGTTTGGGTTTACTCAAGTAAGATTAAAACACAAGGTATTTGCTCAGAAAATCAATAACCCCTTAGGTTAGGGAAAAAAGAAATATATTTTTCAACATAATAATCCTCAGATTGAGGGGTAAATGTATTAGCTCAGAAAAGCATGTGAGGTTATAGCTGCCGTCAATCATTGAGACTAAAGTAGACAAACATGATTCAAAGATTACTGGTGATAACTCATTCAGCCCCCGTCAAAATGAAAGTTCTCAATTCTAAAACTCAAAATAATTAGAGAGCCAGTTCTGTAATCCATACTCTGAAGACAATGTATATTTGTTCATACCTTACATGAAGCAAACAACTTATCAATAAATCATATCTGAGTTATGTCTGTTAATGTACAGGATTTACAATCTTGTAAAATTATTGGAAATCAGGCTGGTAGTTTTTTACCAAATATTTTTACTAAAATTAAAGTATTTAGATTATCACCTCAAAATGAACAAATCTGATAGAGTTCCACCCAAGGTACCTACAATACAGAATATCAGATCAGTTGAGCTACTATTTTTCAGGAAGAAGTGGTAATATACATATTTTACCAAAAATGACAAATATATTTATTAAAATTGGTGATAATTTCATGAAATGAACAAATCGAAACATCAGAACGCCCTAAGGCCCCTATATATCAAATATGGAAGCAATTTGAAAGGTAGTTCTCAAGAAACAGGGTTGTTTACGAAAAGTTGATGCCAGACAGACAATAAGCCATTATACCATCAACACATTCTTTGCACACAAATTGAACCTCAAAGCCTCCTAAGCAAACAAATTAAATTATTCTGTGACATACAAACCAATTGTTAGAGAAGTATAGGTCCATGGTAATGAAGTCCACAGCAATGAGGTTAATTCTGGCCATGGCCATGAGGTGCATCCAGTCCGAGGCCATAAGGTACATCCGGTCCATGGCCATAAGGTACATCCGGTCCATGGCCATGAGGTGCATTCAGTTCATGGCCATGAGGTTCATCCAGTCCATGGCCATGAGGTGCACCCAGTCCATGGCCATGAGGTGCACCCAGTCCATGGCCATGAGGTGCATCCAGTCCGAGGCCATAAGGTACATCCGGTCCATGGCCATAAGGTACATCCGGTCCATGGCCATGAGGTGCATTCAGTCCATGGCCATGAGGTTCATCCAGTCCATGGCCATGAGGTGCACCCAGTCCATGGCCATGAGGTGCACCCAGTCCATGGCCATGAGGTGCACCCAGTCCATGGCCATGAGGTGCACCCAGTCCATGACCGCACCTCATGGCCATGAGGTGCACCCAGTCCATGGCCATGAGGTA